AACCCTGGCCTCTCCTATTATCAAGCTAAGAACAGTTCAATGTATTGATGTTATTCTATTTTAAAAATTAACCAGATATTTCACTCTGTAACCACATACAACTTCCGCTGCTGGTTGTGCTGCACTGCACTGAATAGATTTACTGTGCTCTGGCATCTGGCAAAAATAGAAGCCTTGTGTATCTGATCTGGCCGCCAGAGCCGATCTGCAGCGGGGCTGGACGTCAGACAGATTCTGTGGAATCACACACATCGAATTATGATGCTTGCGTATTTGATCCGTCTGCTGTGCTGGAGCGGAGCAGAGCCATTCTGGATCCTGTGGGTTTTGCCCGTCATAGTGTGCTTGTTTGACTGAAGTTCAACTTTAGTGACCAGTGGAGAGATGAATCTGGGCAAATATGTCAAGGGTGATGTGTCCACAAGTTGGGACCACAAATGTCACCTCTACTGAGCTTCACAACAACAGACTGAAAAACAGATGGTGCCACGAAGAGATTCACAGTTGTAGAGAAAGTGTTTATAGTGGACTTTGTTGAACATTATGGCAGTCATCATCAGAGATGAGGACTCGAGTCATTGTGACTTGGACTCGAGTCGACTCAAGTCGCTGTATTGACAACTTGTAATTTGACTTGACAAGAAATTAAAGACTTGAGACGACTTGGACTTTGAAGTTAAAGACTCTGGACTTGACTTGAGACATGATGACTTTAATGACTTGAGTGTTGTTTATTGTGGTTTCAGTTTTCATATAAGTATAAAATTAATATTATCATTGCCCATCATAAGTGCAGGCTGAGATCAACACGTCATTAACACCTGTCAATCATTCATGCCCTCTCTGCCGCTGTTTTCAGAGAAGCGTGCTGTGAACATGTATGCAGGAGGGACACCCAGAGTCATCCTCTGTGGATTTAAAAATTACCACTGCAAGGCCAAATGACGGGCAACAGAATGCAAGACGTGTGGGACAAAGATTTCAGACAGCCAGAAGACAGTGTCAAACTTTGCTTGTAAGTGCTTGTATGCTAGCAGATACTATCATGTTTGTCAGTCAGCTTAATATGACAAGATGTGATAACATTTCGCAGACGTTCCGACCAGTTCATAACATGAGCTAGCAACAGCAGGATAAATGGGATAAATGATATGCAAGCCAACTCACAATCATTCCGTTTTTCTTTCATTGATTAATCATACATTTGTGTGGAACAATAAGCCATGTTGTGCAGCAGCCACGTTAGACTCAGGCTGGTGCATCTGCAAGTAAGATCACCCTCATGGCACCAAACACTTGATACTAGAAGCAGACAACTCCCTAGATATGATCAAGATATACAGACTTCTCCAGTCTGATTGTACTGTCACAACCTGGCTCTTAGGCTGTAACAATGACGGGAGGCAAGACGAGGTAGATGCCAGTGAAGCAACAATTTATTACGAAAAAACACACAGAAAATACAATAATCAAAGTCAGTCCTCCTAACAACGAAACAATCTGCCACTCCTCGCTGGACACTAGGCGACGTTTGCCATGAGAGAGAGAGAGAGGGAGACACTGAATCCAGGAGGAGGATTTAAAGCTGAGGACTATACTGGGCCCAGGTGTACAAAGTACAAAGTCAAGGAGGCTGTCAGACAGGGTCTGACTGGAATGTCTTGCACAGACCTGGGGCCTCATGTATCAACACTTGCGTGGGACTCATACCAGAAACGAGCGCACGCAAGGTCTGTCACGCTGAAAAAAATCCGTATGTATCAATGTGTGCAGGCGCCGAAATCCACGTGTGTTTCCTTGATAAATCCCAATCAGCGTGGAATTGAGCGCAGATGTCGGAGTGAGCGGGCCCGCCCCCGTTACGCCCTCCTACAAATAAGCAGATTTATTTAAATAGGGTCTCCCTGTCCTCGCACGCAGAGAAAATGACAAGAAAAACTAAATTTACGGCGTGCGAGGTGGAGGTGCTGGTGGCGGAGGTGGAGGAGCGACAGCATGTTTTGTTTGGCAGCCTGTCCAGTGGCGTCAGTGCAAAACGAAAACGCTTGGAGTGGGAGAAAGTTTGTCAGAGGGTGAACGCGGTGGGTTCCGAGACACGCACCCCCACGGAGATTAAAAAAAAGTGGTCGGACCTCAAGGTGGAGGTCAAGCGGCGTACAGCTGCCCTCCGGAGGAGTACCAGCCAGACAGGTGGGGGTCCGGGGGAGGAGACCCTCACGCCGTTTGAGCAGCGGGTGGTGGCGAATATTATTATAGGGTAAGTGGCGTGTCACACAAATGTCCACATGCTTTGCCATCCCACTGAGCAAAAGACATATATTAGACGTCTAGTCTAAGTTTATACTTCATTTCAACGTCGGGATTCAGTCTATTTTTAGACGTGATTTATACTTCGCCCTTAACTTCATTTTTCGATAACTTTTTATGCAATAAACAACTGAAATGTGCATAACTGACCTCTAAATACTGGATTACATTACCTATGATACCGTAGAGAGAGATGTAAACGCAACAGATACACAGAAGCAGGAATTGAAATGAACCAATGCTTTTATTGTGTCACAGAAATCAATGTGTCGGCCGTGTCGCCGGCTTGCGGAACCCCGGCCCGCGGCAACCCGTCCGCCGGCTCAGAGTCGTCGGCCAGGACCAGCGGCATTCGGGCCACCCCGGCCCCAGCACCAGCACCAGCATCAGCACCAGCATCAGCACCAGCACCAGCACCAGCGCGCCGACAAGCGGTGGAGCGTCCACCAGCCGCAGCGCTTCCGCTGGACCACCCGGACGCACTGGAAGGATCCTCACGGAGGGGGTCCTGCAATCGCAGGAAGAAATCATCAGGGGGATCGCGGGGATCAACGAGCGGCTGGACCGGTTCGTAAATGTCCTTGAGCGTCTGGTGGCGAAAATAAATTAATTTGGCTCATTGAACAACTGTGTATTCACTTCTTACCCATTCACACTGTGGTGATGAGATTCTCCCGCGCGAGGACGGCGGCCCGGCAGGGATCAGCTCGCATCCCTCCGTCTGCTGCTGGTTCGTCATGTGGGGCGACGTGCTGCTCGGCCACGGGGATGTGGTGCACGTTTGTCACATAGTGAGTCACCAAACACCGCCACACAGCGTCGCCAAAGTGCCGTCAACGCAAGTATCGGCTCAACGCCAACTTCTACACCACCTCCTTACTTTGCGTTGATTAGCGCTGGAACCGACGCTCTTTTCGCGATGATAAATCTGGACGTGTGCGCCGATTTTGGCGAACGCAAGGTTTTCTGGCGCCGCCAGCGTTGATACATAAGGCCCCAGCTCTGCAGAATCCATCTAAAGAGCTGAGTCAGAGTATGAAAAGAACATCAAAAACATTCTCTAACGCAGAAGTGATGCAGCATCTCACCTCTCCTGAGATGGCTGGCTTGGCCGGAATCTCTGGGACAATTGAAAACCATGTGCTGACTGGCAAGTCACAGAAGGGTGCAGAGAATGAACTACCTAAAGAGCACAGTAATTGTGTTGAACAAAAATGTGACCTCTGCAATTCAGTGTTGCAAAAGTACACAAAAATTGACACCAATATGAGGGAACAAATTAATGAAAAAACAAAGGGCCAAAGTAATCAATTGTGGACTGATTAAAGGAAAATTAGAATCACTAGTAGTGAAGCAGCAAAAGTCCCCCAAAAGAAAGACCCAGTCAATTGGATTGAAGGGGAAATTAAATGGCAAGTTAACTGGCAATGAAGCAACCAGGTATGGCCAAACATCTGAGCCTTTGGCCAGAAAATGGTTCCAGGAGAGTTCAGGGTTAACCGTTGAGACAACGGGTCTCATTGTGGACGAGAAGGAGAACTGGCTTGGTGCGAGCCTTGATGGACTTATTGATTCTGACACAATCCTAGAAATTAAGTGTCCAACACCAAAAAAAACTTGAGGCACACAACAAAAGCCTGATACAGATGATTCAATCAAAGACATATGATGTAAGATACATCAATGGATCATATGTTCTTAGAGAAGGTGGTTACTACTGTCAAGTACAACTGGCAATGCATTGTGCAAAGAAAACCACATGCAAATTCTTGCTGTTGAGTCCCACTGAACACATCATGTTGGATGTCCCTTACAACAGGGCCTGGACAGAGGAAAAAATCTCCCACCTGAGGAAGGTTTACTTTAAACATATCCTACCAGCAATAGCTACCAGAATCACACATGGGGTTATGAAAGTTTGTGGACTCAAATAGTTTTGCTCTGACTTTAATGACAACAGTGTCCCACAGTAAATGTGTCTACAGAGCTGTACAGCTCTACATTACATTAAACACACATAACATTGATCCAGGATGTAGAAATTACCCACATTGTATATAAGAAAAATATAAAATTATTGGATACATCTGTACATAAAACATCAGCGCTTATTTAAAGTTTGAAATCAGACTCACTGTGAGGGTCCCGGTTCATATCATTACAACATTTTCATATAATTTGTGTGTAGTTCATTTAACTTTCTCAAATAAAACACAACATTAAAAGTGAACAGTGTTTTTTGTGGTGTGCTCATCTGTTCTCTCAATGATTGAGAGATGGACAATTACTTGTGCCCTATCAACCTTGGTCTTCCCAAATGTCCAACAAGTATTCATCTCCCTCTTCCTCATGTATCTCTCTACACTCATCCATTTCAAAATCCTCATCGTCCCCACTTGTCCCTTTAGCAGGTTGCAGGTTACACAGGCCTGCACAAACACTTAAAATATCATCAACATTTTTAAACTCCCAGGGATAACATCACTCAAAATTTTGAAACATTTTAACCTTCTAATTGCACGTTCAACATGGATTCTGACATTGGCCAGAAGGCGTGTTCTTGTAACTTCATGCTCTGGGAGTTGTTTGCAGCCATGTATAAATGCTGGAATAGCCAACGTCACTCCAAGAGGAAGTGCATCCCTCGTTTCTTGAAGTTCTTTGGCTTTTGAACAAATATTTCTGTACAGTCATTATACATTACACATTATACATGTTGCGGTAGGATAGTGTTCAATAAAGCTCTGGGGTCTTATTCTTTTCAGAGTATCTCGAGGCAGCCAAGCAATAACTTTGTCTCTCATGAAATTTGCAAGTACTGGTCTCCACATTGTGAAGATATCACAGGCTGTGGTCCTGCTTATCCCAAATCGTATACTTAAGTCTGTGAACATCAAACCAAGACAAAGCCTCAATAAAACTAGTAATAGTTGGTCATGCACTGCCAATTTGGAAACTTTGGCCAGTGGGAGAAAAGCCATGATGGTGTACAAAAGTTTCCAAAAACTGTCAATAGCTAGGCCGGTGTAAAACTTTGACATTTTGTCATCTAAGTTGCAAGCTGACAGCGACGGTGTATGATCAGTTTGTGCATCTTTTTTTGACTTGTGTGAACAATTGTTATGGTCAACAGCATCTGGCCACTGAGTACCAACATCACATTTCTGTGGAGGCACAATATCTACTTCAGTTTCAGAATCCATTAGTGGAGGTTCATCACGTGATGAGTTGTCTGTTGAGGGCTGGAAACATCTTCTCTTTGGGGGTGGTTTTCCAGATGATGGCGTTTCCTGGGGAAGTACATGAAGGGGGAAAAAACAAAAAACAAAACAAACAAAAGCAAAAAACACCAACATCTTTGAAAACAGTTAACTACATGCCACCATATTACAGAGCACATTAATTTGAATGTCTTAAATGTCATATTGTTAAGGAAATTAATAAAACTGGTAGTTAATCCAAGGAAAGAAAATTAAACTTACATGACATTCATATCCCATATTCAACACAGGGTAAGGGTGTTCCTTTGTTGGTCTACCATCAGGGAAGTGTATTCCACACACCTGGGGATGGGAGGTGACAGAAGAGCATGTCATGATGTGCTAATACTCGTCAACATGGTTGCAGGAGTGCTTGAATTTAGCCCACATACATGCGGTGTGTGTGTGTGTGTGTGTGTGTGTGTGTGTGTGTGTGTGTGTGTGTGTGTGTGTGTGTCAGATACGTGTTATGTTGCGTTTAAGGTGCTGTGTGTGATCACAAGTTGTAACTGGTAGTACATTGATCTGGTACCAGTTAACCAGTGGGAAGTTGCAGGTTTGACTGCTGTTCCATTGCACTTTCACAGGTAGCAGGTTGGAAAAACACCAGTAATGGTTGCCTGGAGTTAGTTAGCATAAGTTAGCCGAGTGGCTATGGGCAAGATCAGTGATTAAATGATCAGACCTACCATAAGAACTTAATCTTTACTCTCTAAAACTCGGATCACCTTTTAGATAATAATCTGATAGTTGCTAGCTATTATTTTATTTACGTCTTAATCTTTAATGAAATCTGGCTGATTGTGCTTAATGACAGGTTTGAGGGTTGTTTATCAATTATTTTCAGACTGACATTTGCTGCACCGCAGATCCACACTGACTCAAACTACACGATGTGTAGTACACCTGTAGTTCTTGTACACGATGTCAGACCTGTCATGCGATTTGGTCATAGCGTACGCTCACATGCAGATTGATAAATGCCGATCCTCACGTCATAACTCATGTACGCACGGCATACATGAGTTTTCTGCCGTACGCAAGCTTGATAAATGAGGGCGAGTGACTCTCACCACCTGACCCTGCAACAGAGCACATAAGAACACAAAAACCAGCAAACCAGCCAAACAGGAGCACCTACTTGTAGGGAGCAGTCGTCACAGTGCTTTTGTCAGGCCCCATTAACTGTGAGATTCGCAGGCTTTCAAGCTACATGTTCATTTTCACATGCAGTGAAAGTAAAATCAGGTGCTGAAAAAGTAAACTTTGCAACAATGAGGTAGTACTACCTAATGATTTGGTTAAAACTGAGTGACATAAGGTTCTGAAGTCGACTAAATACTGTTTGACATCAACCAAATGAAGTACTGGTTTAAAAATGGAGTAGTTAGAAGCAAAAAATCCTACTAATATTTCTTAAAAACAGATCATGACATAAATATGGTTTTAAAACTTAGCAAAGTAAGTAGAGAAAATAGAATAAATTTGTGTTAAAACAGTACATAAAATAAATATGATTTTAAAAATAAGTAACTTAGTTATAAACAGCATATGAACTTGACTTAGGTCAACAGCTGAGCAAATGTAGTAAATCGATTTAAAGCAATAAATGAAAAAAAAAAAAAACAACTTCAAAAGAGACTTGAAGGTCAAGACTTGAGACTTACTTGAGACTTTGACGTGAGACTTGGTCCCATGTCTGGTCATCATGCAAGAAGACTGTTCAAGCCTTTCTTCACCACTGAACTTTTAGAGATATACAGAAAAATACCTGTATTCCCCCTCAACTAGATACCAGTGGTGGAGGTGCTGAGCAGTGATGCTATCTGACTTAAATTTGATGCTTGATGCTCAAAAATAAAATAAAATAAAAAAAGGGACACGGCTGTAATGAAGAGCTGCACATAACAATGACATGACCCAGGCATGGAGCAGCCATGTCAAAGCTGATGTACTGTCATTGACTGGGTAACATGGTTTTTGTTCACTGTGTTTAGTTAAAGAAAATGCATTTTGTGCCATTTCCAGACTTTTCCCAGAAGTCACTTCATGTTGTGGATTGACAGCTGTGTTACTCCAGGCTGTAGACCTGTCAGTCACCTCTGATACCCATGACAGTGATCCTCACCAGATACTGTACCTATGATAAGGAGGAAATGTACAGCGGCAGCTAGGTGTGTCTAGCTGGTGTGTGGAGTATGAGATTTGAAAGGAGATCTAAGTCTAGAGTTAGTATTTACAGATGATTGACAGATGATTGAAAAAAATGATGTCCCTCTAATTGTAAAGCTGTTTTTGTTTCCATGTCAACAGATTCCTATCAGCCTTCTTTCCTATTAGCTCCTCCTTTATCAGTGCTTTTCAACATTAAACTAAATATATTCAAGTCAATACTTAAAATATTCTTTTAAATTATATTCAAGTTCATGCCAGTCTGATTATCATTTAAATGAAATGGTAAAATTGCTGTTGAAGGTCATATTAGCTCAAATGAGCATTGCCTGGATTGCAGGACAGGTTCTTGCTCCATCCATAATGTCCTTGCCTCTGTGCCATCATGCAGAGCATGAACTACACCAGTGTCTTTTCTGTGTATTGATTCCACATGATGTGCGTGATCAGGCTGTCTCCTGCTTACTTTTGCCGTTGAGACTCACTGCAGTTTTTACCAATCACAGTCAAATATTTTACACAGGAGGCAGGTACTAAATGCATAAAGGCAGCACTGATTTGATGGGCGCACTGTGAGAGTAAAATGCAGTGCAAATAGACAGATATGATTAAGCTAATAACAGCAAGAAAATGAGAGTGAGCATGTGTGGGAGTGGGAGTGCTAAGTACATGGCATAAGAATATAAATAGTACTATCGTGCAAAAATACTGACTTCCGGGCTAAACGTCAGAGCATTTGTAAATCATGAGGAAAGGTGACAACAGACATTCCTTTGAGCCATAGAATAGTGCTTTAATATCAAGATAGATATTGAATAACACCATCATCATGACACAGCAGACTGGTTTATATATTTTTTTATATTTCAGAGCTTCAGAATTATTTTTGGAATTGTGCTTATTGTCTTAGTCGACTTGCAAAACTTGTCATATGTGAGCATAAACAAACATCTAATTTGGATATTTCGCAGACTCCTCAGAGTATTGTTGCAAATGCCAGGTGGGTGACTTGCTGTCCACTCCCTCTATTTTCACCTTTATAATGTGTTGCTGTTTAAATCACTCTCTATCTTGGACTTATTAATTCTTCCTATATCCTCTCTGCCTCTGTCTGTCTGTCGTCTCCTGCTCTCTGAGATGACTAGCCAACCCTCCTTCCATCAGTCTTCCTCTCAGACGCACAGCTGCCTCTATATATGAAGTGGATGATGACTGACAGGCAGACGACTGGAAAAACCCATCACCTTCTTTTTTTCCTGGCGGACTAAAGTCCTTCAAAGGTGTCTGGATGGGGGGTGTATGTATGCAGACAGGGGTCTTATCTTACCTAAACACCTGTACATGCTCCAGTGTGCCATTTTAGGCCTTGTCACTGCATAAATAGGTTACAATGCAGATTTTTGTGTCTCTTTAAAGATGCTGAGGCTAAGCGATTAAAGGACCCCAGGGATTGTGAACACGATTCTCTCCAACTACGTCTTCATTCTTGAGTTGGAGACACTTCCTTTTTTTACACTTGGCCTCCTGCACCTGCAAATTCATTTTTTTCCCGCTTATTTTTTTTTTTTTCTGTGACTTGCTCACTTTTAAAATATAAAACGTGAGGCTAGTAAAAGACAAATTCCTTCATGCTGTGAGAAGCTGAAACATTACCTGTGTTACTACAAGTACTACTGGCTAAAAGAGACTGTTTTTTTTTATTATTATTATTTTTTTTAAGTGTTTGTACTTTGCACCAATGCAAGCCCTGGGTCATCCAGACTTGTGGTCAAGTTTTGAAGCTACAGGATAAAGGAGAATACTGAAAAGAGCTTGCCAGAGAAAAGATTTGATTTTCAAGGAAAGTGGATTCACTTGGATCAAGATTACGCACCGGCGTTACTGGGAAAGCGGAGGGAATATGCAGAAGCGAAGGCAGTACTCAGAGTTAAAAAGATAAGATTCCAGACTCTGTTTCCGGCCAGACTGATAGTGTTCTGTGAGGAGGGGGCAGCGGATATGGCAGGAAGAGGAATACATGTCACCGTTCTGAAGAAACCAACATCCCTGCTGGATCAGCTGACTTGGAGAGTAAGTGGAAAAAAGAGAACCAAAAGGCCAAACACCAGTTCCAGGATTGGCTTCAAAGAGTGACTCCAGGCTTCAGCCAGGCCAGGATACCTGAGAAGTACTGCCAACATGATAGAACTACTCAGTTTGATCATATGGGTGCTTGACTCTACATCAAAATAAGTGCATGTGTTTACATAGATTTCCATGTGAAGAACATAATTAAAAAATTGAATATATATAATAAAAGAAATTAACATATAGATTAAAGGCACGTCATGCTTCGATTATCTGGACATTATGGACCTACACACCAGCTTTAAAGCTAAAGAGGGCCCTCTTTCATCGGCGTGTATTTTTTTTTTTAAATACATAAAGCCAATGGTAGATATCAAGCTCAGATTCATGGAGAACCTTTGGTTGGACATGTCTTATTAGGTTTTTCATTACCCCCATTCATCTACCTGTACCAAAAATCCACTTTTTTGGAATACTAAAAGCCATATGAATAGATTTGAAGTGTACCAAGACTCTGCAAGCAGTGGTTGCATCAGTGGATTGGGAATGACTGGAGATGTGGTGATGTGTCTTTGTGATGACATAAAATACCAAAATCACAAGGTGTTTTTTTGATAACTTCATCTGCAGCATTCCACTCTTTGAAGCCTTGAAAGACCAAGGCATCTATGGCACAGGTCCATGCAGAGCCAACAGGACAAAGGGAGTAAATCAGAAACTCAAGAGTGAAAAACAACTGATAGAAATGGGAAGTGGAGCTTGTTGTGTTGTCAGCAATAATGCGAACATCC